TGGATGGATGGATGAGTGTGTGGGTAGGTGGAATGAGGGAGAAGGGGGGGGTGTCTGTGTGAGGGGGGTGGGTGGACAGGCGACCCAACAGGAGCACACGGGGATGAGTGGGCAGGTTCCAGGACAGACAGACGGAGGGTGGCCACGTGCGTGTGGGTCAGGGCAGATGAGACTGAACAGGAACAAAGAGACAGACAGACCGCCCCCCCACACCCCTTCCCACCACGTCCTACCCCCAACACCCCTCTCCCCGCAGCGGGGGCAAGTCTCCCACACTCTACCATGACACTGGAAAGAACCCAGGCATCCTCATGTGGCCCCAGGGCTGATCCCCACCCCTGCCCCGAGGGTGACACTAATGGGTCCTGACATCTGCAAGCAGCTTTGCCCAGCCTGAAATATCCCAGAGCAGCAGGGGAGGGGCCAGGTGCGTGGCGATGCCCAGGTGTGGGCCTAACTGGGGATACGTGTGTACACGAGGATGTGAGGGGGATGTTTATCCAGTTGTGTGTGTGTGTGTGTGTGTGTGTGAGTGTGCACATAGATGAGTGTGTTTGAATGTGTGTGTAAATGAGTGTGTTTGGGAGGGTGTAGATGTGCATGTTCAGTTCATGTGTGTATGTAGATGAGTGTGTTCAGGTGTGTGTGTGTACATGAGCATGTTCAGTTTGTATGTAGAGTGTATTCAGGGTGTGTGCATGTGTGTATGTATGTGTGTAAATGAGTGTGTTCAGATTTTGTGTTTATGTAGATAAGTGTGTCCAAGGGGGTGTATGTGTACATGAGTGTATTCAGTTTGTGTGTGTGCAAATGACTGTGTTTAGGTATGTGTATGTGTAGGTGAGTGTGTTCAGGTGTGTGTAGGAGTGTGTTCAGAGGTATGTATACAAGTGTGTTCACTTTGTGTATTTGTGTGTAGATGAGTGTGTTCAGGGGTGGGTGGGTGTAAATTTCTGTGTTCTGCTTATGTGTGTTTATGTAGATGAGTATATACAGGTATGTATGTGTAGATAAGAGTGTTCAGATATGTATGTGTGTAGATGAGTGTGGGTATGTGTTTGGGTTCATGTGTGTGGATGAGCATGTTCAAGGATGAGTGTGTTCAGTTTGTGTGTGTATGTGTAGATGAGAGTGTGTGTGTATGTAGATGAGTGTGTGTGTAGGTAGAGGAGTGTGTATGTGTGTGTGTAGATGAGTTCAGTGTGTGTGTGTAGATTAGTGCGTCAGTTTATGTGTATGTGTAGATTAGTTTGTTCGGGGTTGTGTGTAGATGAGTGCAAGTGTGTGTGGGTAGATAAGTGGGGTCGGGTGTGTGTCTGTCTGTAGATGAGTGTGTTCTTTTTGTGTACATATGTGTAGATGAGTGTATGTAGATGAATGTGCTTAGTTTGTGTGTGCCTGTTGGTGAACACGTGTATGTGTTGGGGGGAGGTTGTTTGCAGGTGTACATGGCCGGTTGTGTGCAGGTCCCGTTGTAGATGTGTGTAACAGGTTGTGTGGGTATAGGATGTGTATGGCTGGTTGTGTACATGGCCAGTTTGTGCATGTGTAAATTGAGCATGTCCAGTTGCACACATGTGTGGCAGGTTGTTTAGTTGGAGGTGTGTGTATGGCTGATTGTATACCTGGCCAGGTGTGTGTGGGTGTGTGAGAGAGAGAGCTTGTATGTAGGCATGCATGGCACATAGCACGTGTGTATCCAGTTGCATACATAGCAGGTAGTAGGTGTGGGTGTTCAGTTGTATGTGTGCCCACAATAGGTTGCACCTATTGTCTGATACCCCCCTACACACACAGTCTCACATTCATACACCCCTACACAGTCTGAAACTTACACACACATGCATGCACATACTCCTACACACAGTCTGACAAACACACACAGTCCCATACAACCTCTGATGCATACACACATGGACACCTACAGGGACATGAGTGTATGACAAACCCACACAATGATACATACACAACCCCTACACTCAAACTCACACACACACACACACACACACACAGACCCCCCCACAGGCACACCTCTATTCACATACACCCCACCCTGGCATATGAACACAAGCACCTCTATACCTGCATCCTTACCTACACAACCACACACACACAATCACACAACACTCTGTCACACGCACCCACCCACACACTTCTATAATCACACTCAGGTGTGCACACACATCACTGCCAACACAACCACTCACACACAATCACCCACCGTGCACATTTATACACACATCCTTATCTACACACTCTCACACACATATTCCCACCCACATATCCACACACAATCACACACCAACACATACTCTCTCTCACCGCTATCTTCACAATCACACTCCGATGCACACACATCATTATCAATACAACCACACACGTACATGTCTACCAACATACCCACACACACACAAAATCACCCAACACACTTTCACACAAACCTACTTTTACAATCAGACACACGTGCCTATGGACATGCACCCCCCCCACCTTTACAATCATACTCATACACACACCTATGGGGACACACACAGGTATACCCCCCCACCTACCTTTACAATCACCCCCACCACCATTAAAATAATAGACACACACACCTATGGACACACATCCACCTTTACAATCATACTTATACACACACACACTCTCACCCACTAACACCTCCCCACACCCCCACCCACGGTCACACATAATCACACACCCACAAACATGCCTGCCCAGGTGTCCAACTCCCAGACCCCACTATGATGGCAAGACCTTCCCTGTGGATTTCCAGCTCAGGCAGTTGCACCAACCAGAGAGGGACGAGCACTCTGCACTGGCCAATCAAAGTTCAGGACTGTTTTGTGCCTACCAATCAGGTAGTAGCAATGGCAACAACCTGTCCATCCACCTAGCCTCACGTACTCCTCTCTATCCACCCCTCCTTCCATCTAGCCACATGCACACACATGCACACACACATGCACAGGCACGCACCCCGCCATCCATCTGTCACTTTTCCTTTCATCCATACATACACCCATTCATGCACACACACACATGCACACACGCACTTACATATGCACATGCACACTCCTCCTTCCATCTATCACCATATGCAAATTACTTTCATCTATCCATACCCCCATCCAAACACACATAAATGCATGCACACACACACACGTACACACACACACACACACACACACACTCCTCCATCTATCACCATACATAGATTCCATCTATCCATCCCCCCTCCCACACCCACAGCCCCTTCCCCTCCACACCCCCCTCGGCCC